TTTTTATTTGCAAATGTCAATAAGAATCGATTGCGGCTAACAATAAAACACACAGTTGTAAAGATAAAGCCGACCAATTAACAGTTAATACACCCAGACATATCATTGAAAAACTCTAAAAATGTCATTAACATCGAATAAAAAAGTAGATATTGTGAACAAAAACGAATTTTCATATTGAACAAAGTAAGATTATCAAACCTTCTAATACAAGCACTAAGCAGACATATATTGTCTCTATTTCAAAATTGAGTTCAGGGTTAGTCGAGTTATCTAATTCTAACTTTTTAATCGTTCATAAAGAAAGTCTGGGAAGAGAGACGACAAATCTTTCAAATCGATGCTGTAAGCTGAAAATTGTTTTATTAATAGTGAATACGTATTCAGAAATATATTGCAATATAGTTTAATCTGCTCTATTATACTCGCACCTATGGTAGATCGAATTATTGTCATAATTACCTTTCGATCTTCATAAGCTATAAAATGTTACACACTTAAATACATTAGGCTCGTTTATATACCTAGCTAATTGTTCACGGATTCTGTGATTTTCACAACAAATTCTACACTCTAAATTTAATGATTTATTATCAATTCTGTACACCCCAAATGAGCTGAGTGCTGCTTCGGTATCATGTTTTATCGCTTATCTGGTCGGATCAAAAGATTGCTCTTTAAGAGGCCTATTGGCTATTAAAATGATTATTTTACATTTCAATAGATTTTCACTTTCATTTTTCACACACTCAGCTAAAAATTACCACACGGCTGATGCAAATTTGTCGTAAATAGTTGTAAGTGGCTTAAAATGCCAGCCAACAGCAACAGCAAAAACACCAACAGCCAAAACATTAACAGCCACAATAAGCTGACCAAAACTTTCACTTGACGGACGGAAAGAAGCATAAAAAAATAAAGACAAGGCACAAAAATCAGCTCCTGCCTTATGTGGGTCAAAAAGCGTTCAGCCTCGAAAAGCAGCTGCAAAATAATCTTCTGGCTTATCGCTGAATTTTTGTTTTTTTTTTGCTTAATTTGAGTTTAGAGTTCAAATGCCAATGCACGCAAAGCCAATTGAAGTCCAACAACAACAACAGAACCAACCATCTTTTGGCTGAGATGCGCGCTGCGATAAAAGATGCGCTTGGTGAACTTTGAACTCGAAGCACGGTCAGCTGCAAATATTACTGTTACCCAGGCGTTCATTTTGACAATGAACTTTAATAGCAAAGTGGATGGGATTGGGTATGGGTGGGGGAGTAGAAGGTGACAGTTGTGGGCGAGAATATGAATGTTGATTAATTTACAGCAATTCTTGTTGATTTTTGTAGATGTCTCTTCTCGCTTAGTTCTCGTTTGCTTTGTTGAGTTGTTCTTGGCCCTTGTTGACAACTCTTATCACAGCACACACAGTAAAATACACATACACACACATATGCACTATTCGTGTACGCAGCTTCAAAATCAGGTCACGTGTTTTTTTTTTAAACTAAAATGATTATATTTCGTGGTTGCTTTTGAATTCAGCTTTGCTTTTGCTTTGGCTGCTGCTGCTGTCTCTTATCAGCTTTTATAGCTCATTCTGTCTTCCACGCAAAAAGCTGAAATGTTAAGGGCCAAATCTGCTGACGCAGTGCCTGCCTGTCTGTCTGTCTATCTGTCTGTCTGTCTATCTATCTGTCAGTCAGTTTTGGGCTCAGGCAAATGTGAAAACAAAATGCTGCAAAATGGAAGACTGCATAAGCTCAACAAACTAAGCTAGCCTTTGTGCGCAGAAGATTAAAAGCAAAGTTAAGTTTGTAGAAGTCACAGCCCCGTAAGATACAATATAGTGAGTCAAGAAAGTATTCGCACAAGCTCCACGAAAACAGTACAATTACAAAGAGTTTGCTTTTCTTGTTACAGCAATTATATCGGATATTTAATTATATATACCTGAAAAAGGCAAAACTCAAAGCTCAAGCTTAGATACAATACAGTGTGTCAAAAACGTATTGCAATAGTATTCGTTCTCTTGCTTAACAATTTAAATAACTTTAAATTCTACAATTGACTCAAAATGGACTCAAGTAAATACCTGAATACTTTAATAAACATGCAACCAGTTGCAGAACTGGAATATCTATAAGCTCGATCCAAAATTTTAATGCTAGAGTCGTCAAACTTGGAATGTAGATGGCTAGACATCTTCTACAGCGTTTTGGATCGCCTAAAAAAACCATATCTATAACAGCCCTCGTAAATTTGTGCCCCAAATCGTAAAAATGCAGTATTTTGTAAATTGTAGATTTAGATAATTATACATTTTAAAATTATTTTCATGCTTTTCACAACGTAGAAAATTGTTGATAATTGAATCTCTAGTATGTTGTTAGGAGTTTAATAGCAGCTTTTTTAATTGCTCAACACTGTGAACAAATTCCTTAGCAACTAAATGCAGTATAGCAAAAATTCACCTGACTCACCCCCCACCCTAGATGTGTGTGTTCTGGACATTTTAAAACTTGTACACAAAGAGAAAATTGTGTGAAAATCAAGTTAAGCACATGCACAAATACACACAGTAACTACATGTACATTATTTGTTCATTGTTGCTCCCACGCTTTGACAAAAGTCACACTCGGGCGCCCCAAACTGACACAATCGGCTTCATGAATCATGGACACGAATAATAACAGTTAATTATGAGCAGTGTGCGAGTGTGTGCGTGTTTGCGTGTGCGTGTGAGGGGTTTTTCATAAATAAATTTGCACTTAACAGATGAAGAGAGAATGTTGCTAAGCGCAACAGGCTAGCAACAAGCCAAACGTTGAATGATGAATGTGAATGGGGATGGGGATGGGGATAGGCGGGAGTGTGATTGGCTGCCAGGCAACAAGGAAGTCGTGAAACAAAGCAATGCTCACTGAAAAGAGAGGCGCAACTGAGCAATAATAGCAGCAGAAACAGCAGCAGCAGAAGCAGCAGACAGACAGACAACAACAACGGAATTAAAATTTAATTTTAATCGTCAAAATGAACGAAAAGAACCAACAGTAAAAGAGAGCTAGAGGATGAGAGAGAGATAGAGAGAGAGAGAGAGAGTGTGAGAGGGGAAACCAATACAAGTGTAAAATATACACATGCACATGCATATGCATATGCACATGCATACAGACACACACACATGCATACATAATGGATAATGGCGTGCAGACAAATAAATTTTCAAGCGGGCAACGCTGCCTTTGCAGCAACAACTGCATGCATACAATACACTCACACAAACAACACACACGCATATAAAGAAAATTTAATAAACACAAAAACAGCGTAGCTAGCAAGATCTGCAGAGGCAGTAATGTGTACATACTCACATACTTATATACATATCTACATTTACATACATAGGCATGCTTATGCATGCAAGGCTGGAGATTTGTAAGGCGAGATCGGCAAGCAAGAACAAGCACAGCATCAGCAGCAGCAGCAGGAAGAACAACAAAAATAACAACCAGGCGAACAGGTCGGCGGCAGCAGCAGCAGGTAGTAAGAAAGAGAAGGGACAACAACGATAAGACTGCGGCTGATAAATATCGATAAATTAACAGCAGGCAGGCAAGCCGAGACAGGAAACAAAACCACTACGAAAACTAGTCAAAACAAAAGGCAGGTAAAAGCAACTAAAAACAAGAACGCGACAAATGCAAGCAGAGAAACGGCATTCGTTGTTGTTTTGTTGGCTATGTGCGGGGGCGCGACGAATGCAAAAGTAACTAAAAAATGCAACTTCCAGAAACTGCTCAGAATAGAGTTCGTAACAACAACAACGGTCAATCTAATGTTAAATATAATATTAGAAATGTCTAAAATTACAGCATTACTTTATGAGAGAAAAATTAACAAGAGAGTGCAACGTATGCAGCTATTTATGCAGGCAGAGGTGGAAGTAGAAGGCTGCCAGTGTTGCCGAGCAAACATAAAATCGTGTAGAAAATCAAATTGCAGACGAAAAAAAACAGAGACATGAAGGATGTTATTGTTGCTGTTGTCTGATGTCAGAGCGCATGCGTTTAGCTGATGCCGCGTTGGGCTTTTCTTCATTCTTTTTTGTTGTTGTTGTTGCTGTGCTTTTACATTTTGATTTTTCGGAAAACGCACACAACAAATTTATGCGACGCCGCTTGTCAACACTGTTCCTGCTGTTGTTGTTATTCTGGTGGTGGCTGCAGTCGTCGTCGAGGGGTGTGTTTTTCCATTTCCATTTTGCTTTTCTTTTTGTATTTTCGTTGGGGGTTGTTGTTGGAGCATTCAAATGTGCTCACATCCACATAAAAAGCGTAGAAAGCATGCTAAAAAGACATTCTAACAAACTCTCAAATGCAGACTGACTGTGACGCAGTTGAAAGCAACCCTATAACAACAAAAGTAAGCTCCCCTCACACCCCACTGAAATAACCAACTGCTGAGCAATTAACAATAATAAATTGCGTTATATTTCGTCTCAAAAGGCAAATGTTTATTATCAGAGTGCCTCAAGTTCAATAGACTCGGGGACAATGAAACCAAATACAGTACTCCCTCTTTATGTGAACTATTATATTTCTCATGAGTCAAATGCTTGTAAAAAAAAAAATTACAAATACTTAATTGCAATTTTTTAAATTGTTTATTATATTTATTAAATATTTACACATTACAATTTATATTTGTTGTAAAATTCTATATTCCAATTCAAGTCAGCTGCATACATTTTACAAATCCTAATTTCACAACGTGTTCATTAGCGAGCGACCATTGTGCGTAAAGGCCCAAAAATAGCTATAAAATATATACAGTATATACGGGAGATGGGTGGAGGGGGCGGGGTGTTGAATAGGCACTAATTTCTCTGGCAATCGCTAATGGCAAATGGGTTAATGAACTGCAACAGCGTCGATAAGGAAATGCATCATCCATAATATAATTTAATATATATATATCAATATTTTATTTATGACATTAATATTTAACTTACCGTTTGACCATTTTGTTGGTTACCCCAGAATTATTTTCCTGCTGAGTTCCAATATCAACGGATTTATTATAATCCAGTTTTGAGGTAAAGATTTTGATGCGACGGAAATCAATTTTGGCGATGTCTTCGTAAACCTTGTTGTAGATTTGAATATAAAGTTTTATTGCATTGATTTTATAATTGCACGCAAAGCAATTTGCTATACAACAAAAAGGGCAATTTCGCTGTTGTTGTTGTGGTGATTGTTGTTGTTGTTGTTGTATAAGGAACAGCCGCACTGCGGGAGTCCAATTGGACTGTGTATGAGTGTACGGCAATGGCAAAAACAAAGCGAAACGCAAACAAAAAAGCGAATGCCATAAAATTTTATAACAAAACACAAACCAAAAGCGCACTGTAAACAAAAAATGTGAAAAGAACTACAAAGTTTTACAGTGCTGCGTAAATAAATGAATACATTTAATTTCTTTATATGCACATATGTAATTATTATTTAATTTTCAGCATGCGGCTTAAACCACTGCAAACAACAATAACAAAAGCTTCGCTTTGCGTTTTATGCTTTGTTTTCCGTTTTTGGCACTCTATTGGTTTGTTTGTATGTATTTTTTTTCTTTTCTGCAACACTTCAAGGGCTTTGCAAGCACAACAACAACAACAGCAGTAGCAACAGCAACAACAATATGGCCACTTTATTGATTCACTGTTATTACAATTTGGTTGAAATTAAGCACAAATTAAATTAAAAACACGCGCAGTCGGCAGATGAATGCACTTTGGTATTTTACGCGTTTGCCTTTTTCCGTTTTCTTTGCCCGTTTGCCCAACTAATAATTCCATACACTCAACACCTACACGCACACATGCACACATGCACTTCTATATGCATGCACGACATACACACACACGCATACATACAGGCGAATGGATTTGACTTTGTGTAGAATATATATTCTTTTACCTTTTTGTTAAAAACAAACTACGTATTTTTTCTGTTATAGGTTTTTACACTTTGATTCACTTGTCGCAGTTAAACTTTTGCTGCATTTCGCGAGTTCGCTGTCGATATGCATTCGCGTATGGAACTTCTGTACTGTTAGCACGCGGCCACGAATTCTATTTTAATAACGATAGTTACAAATTACAATTCGCCTATTCAATTAAAAACAACTTTGTCCGTTTCAAAATTCTGAGATTTGTTATCAAAGCGGTCTCCGTGCGAACACGACGCGCTGTTGTTGCGTTTTGTACACTGAAACTAGGGATGTTGATATTATATCGATGTTTCTTACGCAGTAAGTATGATAGCTTATACAGATATCGATTATTGAGCTATCGATATTATTAACATATTTCTTGAAATAAAAATACCAATAGCTTATAATGCATGTTTAGTCTTTATAACATATAAATGCGATGATTTATATATTCATGTTATTCAATTGATTCTTATTAACAGTCTCCAACTTGGGTATAATCAATTTGTTGAATTTATGGTTGTTATAATTACAGTGTTATCGTGTTATACATATACCAGCAAGGAGCAATTTTGACGGGCTATCGATGTCTACTGTTAATCTAATTTGCGGATCTGCTGAAATGGTGCTCGTAATTGTTAAGCATTTATGTTAAATCTCGATAAGTCGAAAATCGATTATAGTTTAATATTGAACAGCCGTGTTTCTTTAAAATATAAAAGAAATAAAACAATGCTCACATTATTTGTAGTAAATATTTGTCACAAGCGAACTAATTACTAAGATTCAAATACCAATTATATTTTTTATCTGCTTTGGGATATTGGGTACGAAAAAATCGAAAGAAAATGCTGACCCTTTCTGTAGACATTATAAAACAATTGAATGTTGATTAGAATTTAACAATTTACTTCTCCCCATCTGCTGCATATTACAGTTACAATTAACAGCAACCAACTCAGAACTTATCGATTAGAAGCTTAAAAAGTAGAATGTTTTGCAATTTGAGTGCTGTTGATTTTATTAGTTAAAATCACCGCTCTTGCCATCACAGGCCACAATCTTAACCTTGTCGACCTTAACGAACTCATGCACCTCTCTAAATTCCACATCGTTCAGCATCAGGGTCCAAACATTGTCACAGAAGCGATACGTATTCAATTTGCCCGCCTTGAATGTGACGCGCGCCTTAACGCGCTGGTTTAATGCGTTATTGATGCTCTTGTCAAACTGCAGCAGAACCTTGAAGGCCAACGTGGGCGTAATTTGGCCATACTGAAAATATAATTAAATATATTATAAATAAATATATATAAATAAATAACAGATGAGTCCTTCTAACAATGTATTTCATTTTCCGTGTGTACACACACATACATGTATACATACATTGTGTCTGAGCGCATTTTTGGAAGTGTTGGTTTGAATAAACACCGTAGATTGGGATAATCGTTTCTGTTAGTCGAACTAACTCCACTTGAGCATTCTTACTTGGCTTAGTTTGCAATGTTCGTCTGTCTGTTTGTCCATCTGCGACGCAGCTGCAGCGACTGCAATTGTTTTAATGTTGCGATGGCTAAACTCACCTGAATTAATTCGTCAAGGCTCTCCTGTAGCGTATTACCTAGAGTGGTATTGCGATACAATTGATACGACATATTAATAAGTCGCTAAATTAATTAAATTGAAATGTTATTTTCTTGAGCAGTCAGAAGTAATGTTGCGATGGCACAAATTTTCGACTACAACACAAATCATTTCGATTACAACTTAACATGCTAGCGATATGTTGTACTCGATACTTTTTGCGATATTCTTGGTATAATGTTCGTCTTTACAAACATGAAAATTTAATTGGACCTAAAATGCTTGTATTGTTAGTTAGTTAATTTATGATTAATATATATAGCAGCAAGTCGATACCGTAAAAAACTAGATATTGCAAGTAAAATTGAGTAATGTATCAAGCAGCTTTCCAGCGTGAAATGTCTGACGCAACAAAAGCAAGCTGCTACAAGACTGTCGCAAAATAGGCGGCGCCTGCATCCTGTTTGTTACCCTTAACGGACACCCTGAAGCGGAAGTTGCCCAGGGGTTGCATAGCAGCAGCGGCCAATCAGATCAACGCCGCTTCAGGTGTGGCGCCAATATTCTTTTTATGAACCACAATTTGAAGCGCCCTCTTGTTGATTGCAATGCGGCACATATATTGTGTGGCGCAAGGATAAACACAGTGGTTGACCATAAGCGGTGCCACTTGTCAGCGGCGGCGTCGTCGGAAGTAACGCCACTTAGATTCAGTCGCTCGTCGATTATTCAAGTGATTAGTACATAGTTCGGGTGCACAAAATGCTGCAACAGAATCAATCGTCATCATCACCGTTGCTCCTTCATTTGAATGATGTTATCAAGTCCACGAATTCCACACCGACACCCACACTCACACCCACACACACCGTAATCGCCGTGCGTCCGCAACGTCCGTCATCTCCACGCCAATTCTTCGAGCGTCTCTACGGTCATCTTGAGACGCGCACCCACAACAACAACAACAACAACAGTGAAAACGGAGACATCGATGTGGGCACCCACATCGAGACTCCTTACCAGAGCGATGGGGGCAGTGTTTCCTCGCCGGATGTATCCATCAGTGATGAGCGCGTCTCGTTAATCAGTTTTCCGCCTTATGAGCTGCATCCGCCACCGTCGGACTATAATACCTACAGAGCTTTATCGAATGGAACTTCGCCTACGGTTCTCCCTTATACGGCCTTCCCGAGTGATCCTCACATTACGGCCGGATTTTCCGCATTTCGTAAGTAAATAAAAATTTGCTAGATTACATTAAATTTTAAAGATTTGACACTTTATCAAAGAGTTTTTTAAAGTCCAGCGTATATTTCACTGTCAAAGGCGTACTCAGGGAGGGGAAAGGGGAGAGGTGTCCCACCTTTTAATTTAACTTAACTTAAATAAAGGAGTCTTTTCAGATAGAGTATATATATTCTTGATCAGCATCATAAGTCATCTCCGTCTGTCTCTTTTCCTCCGTTTTTAAGCAAAATAGTTCCCCGTTTTTAATGCTTTTCTAGTTGAACTTGGAATATATACGAATCAGATCATTATCTAATATACAATAGTTGCCATAGGATATATCGTTCGAAAGATAAGTTTTTTTCGTGTAGAGAACTTTTCGCTGTAAAAACTTTGTCAATACTATACCGATTCCCAAAAGTATAAATATAAATAAATAAATATACTAATCAAAATTGCTTCAACGTGCGCTTAAAAATTTTAATGTATTTAAACAAATGAATTTATGCTATTTGACAATGTTGTGTTACGATAGGGAGATTTGTTTGCTTTACTTCTGCGTATCCTCAGTGGGTTTCTCTCGCAATGATTTCAAGTTTTGCATCTCCATGCTCAAAAACATTCGCAAATTGGGATCTTTGATCTTGGCCAGAACAATCTGACGAGCACGCTCATCATTGTCGCCCAGTATTTTGGCCACAGTCTGTGCGTATTCCACCCAGACACAATTGGCGCATCCCGACATGCAGCAGGTGGTGGGTTCCGGGGGTAACTGCAATATATAGACATGTATAGAGATTTTGACTCAAGATAGATAGATACAGAGAACTTACCTCTATATCCGCATCCTCTTTATCGGAGCCATCCTTATCCGACAGGTGTCTGGGATGAAGGGCAGCGGCCAGCTGAAGTCCACAGCGCCCAAGCAGCCCGCAAGGATATCTCAGGCACAGAGGCATTGAGGATAGACTGGGCACTGAAATATGGGAGATATATCATTATATACATATAACATTATTAAGAAACAGGAAAACATTTCGATATTCACACGCTCTGACAAAATGCAGGTGCAAAAGTTTGTTTGTTTTTTGCATACAAAAAATTAGTTCCGCAGGAACTGCACAGAAAAGCTCTGTAAATATCCTGCTATTAAATATCCTTGCACTTGTCGGTAAATCATTGAAGAAAAAATGTACAATAAAAAAACCCAAGCAGAGGAAATAATGCAGAAGCAGAAAGAAAGGGGAATGAGCACAAAATAAGAGAACGGGCGTTAAGAAGAAAAGAAATTAACAAAATATTAAAAAGCATTGAGCTGTAAAAATTCCCATTTACTTGCGGTAATCTCGCTTAAAGGTCGTTGTAAAAAGGACTTGCGGTTAATATTGAAATTGAGAATGCACTGTGAAGAGAGATTGTAAACAGAGAAAGCGAGAGAGAGAGAGAGTTGATAAGAGAGATGATATTGAAAGCCACATCATTATGTGTTTTGCACAACCCCAAATAAGAATAACACCTAAAAAAAAAGCAAGCTGTGCAAAATGTATTGGTAAAAAATTAGCATTGTAATTGAGCTTAACAGGAAACCGTAAAAAACGCACACAAAACACAAAACACTTGCGCCAGCTCAAAGGACACTTGTCATATCGCATTTCACACGTGATTTAAAAAAAATACATTTGTTGTGTGTGTGTGTGTGGGCGTATGCATAAGCCGAAAGCAGAGCTTATAACAGTTGTGCGTTAGTCAGGCAAAGGGTAATCAGGCGAAAACTAGAGATTAGCCCGTCTCTCACGCAGCCACACAAACTTTACAGCTTCGCAATGCCAAGAGCGAAACACAAACAAAGAGAGAGAGAGAAACAGAGAGTGAGCGCTTTGGAAGAGAGGGTGTGAGGGGCAACAACAATTAGGCGGTAATCAGCATACTACGACAGACAATGAATGTAAACACGCCGCTTACGAATGGGTGTGGCTAAAGAATAATGTGCGCTTGGATGACGAAATGCAAACAAACAAGACAATGACGAAGTGCAAATACCCTTACATAATCTAGTATTATATCGAGTTTGTGCAATATTCAAACTTATTTTCAAATAATATATGTGTTTTTTACTTTGACCTTATAATTATATAAATAATATTGGTTTTGCTTATTTCCACGAAGACAAGAATGTAGAGTAAAGTGTATTTCACATGCGATTACAAATGTTAAGCACATAATTTGAAAATTGCTGAAAATCGCAGAATAAATAGAATATTTAATAAGTGCAATTTTTGATAATCTATAAATTGCTTAGAACATAATTATTCCACTTATGCGCTGCAAACAGCATGTGAAAGTTGTAGTATACTTCATGGTAGTGTATAATTATGATGACTGCTGAATGTGAATTGACAATGGTAGAATGGAAGACAGCTGTGCGCATTGTTGAAATTTTCCCGGCTCAGATTGCCCAAAGTATGAATTGCTCGGATGGTGCTCGGAACGGATGAGGGGGGTGGTTGGGGGAGTGGAGTGCTGCTGACGGACAGTCCAGGCAGAGGCACACGTGTAAAATGCATTTTAATGTGCGCTATAAACGCGATCAGAAGGGGCGGGGCTGTTCGGGGCAGCATGGTTAATTATTTGTTTAACTTGTTCACACGCAAGGACATTGAGCCGGGGGCGGGTTTAGCGCAATTTGATGGTTTGTTAATGTAAGATTAATTTCACTCTAGCATCTCCATTGTGCGTGCATCGGCTATTGTTGTCCACTGATTATGATATCCACTCTAACAATTTGATTATCCGTTCTTTATTCTCACTAAGTGGCGCGACGTCGTCGCAAGGAGGGACGCCAGAGACGCCAGCGTACCACGTTCAGCACGGAGCAGACACTCCGCCTGGAGGTGGAGTTCCATCGCAACGAGTATATATCGAGAAGTCGACGCTTTGAGCTGGCGGAAACGTTGCGTCTCACAGAGACACAGATCAAGATCTGGTTCCAGAATCGACGGGCCAAGGATAAGCGCATTGAGAAGGCCCAAATTGATCAGCACTACAGGTAAGTGATGGTCAAAAATCAGGCAAAAGTTACAGACTTGGAGATACCCTGTGCTTACAGATACAGATATATGATATGACATCAATGCTTATATATGTTTACATTAATATTATGGAACAAGGGACCCATATATATTTTATAAATATAATATCTCTATACTAAGAATCAGTTAAAATATGAGGAGAAGAGGCTTATTGATTATAAAGCTAAATATTCTCAAGTTATAACTCTGACGTTGATAAATAAGTGTATATATATTAAGGCTCAATACTCTAACTTCAATAGCTTTGAAACTTCTGATTTGCGTATGAAAACAAAAATTTGCAGAGTCTCGTTCTCCCTCTCTCTCTCTCTCTTGATAGACCTATTATTTATATTTCTATTTCTACTCACTTTCAATAAAAGGCATTCAATTCAAAAAACAAAGAAAAAATTGAAAAGGGGACATCTTTTTTGCAACGGAAGTAATTCAAAGAAATGTCACAAGTTTAATTGATGTATTCACATTAAATTAACACGAAATTAATTTTACGACATTTACGCGCACACAGGCCCAATTAGACAATGTCCTCGTCCACTTCTCTCTCTCTCCTCTTCCCTATGGCATCCTGAACTGGGTGGTTCTTCCACAAAAAGTGGTCATTTGATGTAATGCACGATACAATCAATTTGCAGGAACTTTGTCGTGGCCAATGGTTTTATGAGCACTATTATGGGCCAGACCAGTTACGCGACGGCTGCCCCAGCAAGCAGCGCAGCGGCAGCGACGCCGACGGCAACAATGCTTGCCACAAACGGTGGCGTGGGCTACTATGGAGCACCTGGAGGATTACAGAGCCTGTTGCCAGCGCCGCTGCCAAAGGACTCAGTCATCAACAACAACGTGACTCGTGATCGTGCCGATATTAATTATGCCAACATTGAGGATCAACATCTCCATCATCAGCACGAACTGCATTCCAATTTGCAACAGCAGAACCAGCAGCCGCAGCAGCAGCATCGACGCAGTCGCTTTCTGCCTCCGCCGACGCTGATCAATTCGTGTTAGCATTCTCAAAATTTGTCTAATTTAATAGAGCTTTAAATCATTAATTGCTACATTGAGCAAATCTATAAGTTAAGTTCATATCTCTGTTAATATAATATTGCATTAAATAAACTAAGCATAAAACAAGAATGGCTCGACTGTGTGATACGCTGTATTTCAGACTGTCATGACTTTATTGGGTTGATCTTTGAAAGATTTTAATAACAGTCGAATAATTGTAACTCTTGTCGCGGTTACACAGGGTATATTTAGCAAGTAAATTTCGGTGTATCTAGGTGTCAAAAATAAATTAAACATTGCACTGTACTGAACTTTAGGTACAATATACATATTTTCATTTCTTTTGGCGACTTTGTAGCTTTAAACTCTCTAGAAAATAAGCTAAAGTGCGCAGCACTGTCTTATGTGACCTGCCAGTAGAACAGTTTATTTGGCGGGCTTGCACTCTGACAACGCAATGACGCACTTACCTTAACAAACTGCATTTGTTATTGCAGCAGTTAAACAACGGCTGTTTTATTTACACCTTATTTTTTGAGAGACAAATAAAGAAAAACTAACTTAGAAAACGTACATGGTTTGCGCAACAACAACAAACCAGGGCCGTCAACGATGTGTGTGTGTGCATGAAAACAACCTGTCGATAACACAGAATATATATCGATATCTATGGCACATCGCTGAATTTTTCTTCGCGTGCGTGTCTTAACGAGTTGCAGTTTTGCATTTTTTTTGTAAATTAAGTAAAACGTGCGCCAAATATGGCAAACACACCGCAAGTTGTTAAACTGGACGATTCCTCCGAGGAACCATCCCCAGAAATATTCGAAATAAAGGATGAAGACGTAAGTAGCAATACCATTTCGGCATTCGCATTGCTCACTCCACCAAATCGCATACATAAAAAAAAACCATTGCTGCTTTTGGCATACCAAAACATATGTACAGACATATATTTAGATATCTATATGTGTATGTAGCTATATTTATTTATAATTTGCCCCAGCAGGACATATGTGAATTGGAGCATCTACGTAAGCTATTCATCGGCGGCCTGGCACCCTACACCACCGAGGAGGGCCTCAAAGTGTTCTATTCACAGTGGGGCAAAGTGGTTGATGTTGTTGTGATGCGAGATGCCGCCACAAAGCGTTCACGTGGCTTCGGCTTTATCACCTATACAAAGTCCGCGATGGTTGATACTGCGCAAGAGAACCGGCCCCATATCATCGACGGCAAGTATGTGGAATGGGCTTAAAGCCCTTTATAGTCTTATATGCATTAATTACATGCAAATAAACACTTTTATCTAGAACTGTGGAGGCGAAACGCGCTTTGCCACGTCCGGAGCGCGAGACGCGTGAGACAAACATTTCTGTTAAGAAACTGTTCGTTGGCGGCCTCAAGGACAATCATGACGAGGATTGCCTTCGCGAGTATTTCCTGCAATTCGGCAATGTGGTCTCCGTCAAATTGCTAACGGACAAGACAACCGGCAAGCGGCGGGGATTTGCCTTCATCGAGTTCGATGACTATGATGCCGTCGACAAGGCCATACGTAAGTTGCAATTGTTAAATTGAATACAATTTGGTCAATATAAACCTGGAAATTTCATCAACAACAACAACAGTTCAGCGGCAGCACTCAATTAAATACGTGCTCGTCGACGTCAAGAAGTCGATTTACAATCTGGAGAAGAAAGACCGTATGGCGCAGGGTGCTGCAGCGAATGGCAATAAGATGCAACTGCAGCAGCAGCAGCAGCAACCTCCGCCAAATTCGAATATGCCGCCTGCCGGCTACCGTCCCCCAGTGCCTCCGCCGCAGCAGATGCCACCGTATCAGCATCAGCAGCCGCCGCCGCCAATGTCGGCGCCGCCACCAAACTACAACTATTGGGGACCACCCCCGCCGATGCAGCCCTATTACCAGCAGCCGCCGCCGCCTCAAATGAATGCGTGGAACGCCTATCCACCGGCACAGAATGGCTGGAATGCACCGCCGCCACCACCGCCAGGCGGTCATCCGCAGTGGCATGCCAATCAATGGGGTGGTCCGCCGGCCGTGCAGCCGCCCACACCCGGCATGCCGCCAGGTGCACATCATCGCAACGGGCCACCGCCGCCTGCGGTTGGTAATTGGAATATGCCAGCGGCGGCACCACCAATACCCGGTGCAATGCCGCTAACACAGGGACCACCGCCCCATCAGCCGCCACCGCCACAGCAGCAGCAGCCGGTGCCGCCAAACTTTGGCAGTGGCTATCAACAGAACTATGGCGGTGGCCCCACCAAGCACAGCAACATGAACGGCAATCGCATGAATCCCTATACGGCTGCACCACCCAGCAGCTATCGTAAGTAATGCGATCTCTGATTTTTTCAATAACATAAAATGAATCGTCTTCTTAAATAGATAATGCCCAGCCACCGGCGCCTGGCTATGCGCCGTACAATGCCGCCGCACCGCCGCCCAGTGGCAATGGGCCAGCGTCGGGACCCGTGCCCAAAAACGTATCCAATGGTTCGGTGGCAACGGGCGCCAGCGCCAACAGCAAATATCGTCGTTAATTGTTGGGGTAAGTAAAGGAAGCGAGAGAGTTTTCCGCTTCGATTTGTCATTGTTGTGGTACATTTCTATAAATGCATAGTACAATTCGAGCAAGGCAAAGTTTAAGGTACAAATTACAGACAGCTATTGTTTGGCTCCATTCTCTAAGTATGTCTGCAAAATGTCAAATTACTAATCATTTATATAATTCTCTTTAATTTAGATGCCTTTGTGTGTGTGTGCCCATAAAGTGCAGCACAAAAGCAAGTTACAGATACAGATACAGATACTGATAAATAGGCTTGTTATAAGCTAGGACACACACTCGCTTAGTAACTTAAAACAGGATACATATTAGCTGCGTTGGCTCTCCTTGCATATATAGTCTTATATAGATATATATATAAAACTGAGCAAGCGAGCAAACTAACTACAGTTTTTTTAAAACTCTTTTAAAATAAGCTCTAATGTTATTTATTGAATGATTGATATCTATCTATCTATCTATATATATATATACATATATATGTATATGCATATGTTTGCATTTAAGCGACACTTTGCTTACAATAAGACAAAAATATTTAAATGAAATCAACTTAAGATATTGTTGGCTACAACTGCAAGCTGTAGCCGGATGCGTTTCATTTCATTTAGTGTTAACTTGCCATGCTTTATTTTCGAAACATATATATATTTTTTGTAAACTTAAATAGAAGTTATATTGAACTAGTGCTCTCTTTTACTCTCTCTCTCTCCCTCTCTCCATTTTATATATATATATATAATTACTTATGCCTAAACTGTAACTCAGTCTATAATTAGCGCCTGTGCCTAGCTCACCAATTGCAAATCGTATATTGTATTTTTCTAATCAAATTGTTAATCAATACAGCAACTAGCGACTAGCAATTGAAACACTCGTTTCGCCGAGCTTATAGGGCTAGTTTTTTTTATAGCTCTCGTGTGTAGTACATTAGTTATTAGACGCCTTAATACTCGTATATATATCCAAGATCAAGCAATGTTGGCTGTCGATCAATATAGCAAAACAAGATAGCAAAACAAGACAAAAAAAACTGATACGTCCAGTAATAAATATTGTTAAATCAAAACGGAAAGCAAAGGTGAGCAATGCACAGCTGCGTTTATAATATACGAAACAAAAAAAAAAAGAAGTTAATTACTATAGAAATATGTATAATTTTAAACGAGTTAATATCAAAATAATTGTCAATTTTTATAAACATCAATGTATATCAATATATATATATATATATATACTTATGTATATGACTGTCTGATATACACTCTACTTATATATTTATGTTAACTTGTAAACGGTTTCCACTAACTGAAATCGACATTCAGATATGTCGTACATATGTAGAACGAATCCTTATACATATTTTAGATCAAAACAAATTATACGGAATACAAACAACAAAAACATAATCTTAATAATAATAAATTTATATGGAGACCTGATTTGATTTTGTTTGACAACAATGAATTTAATTGCAATATTTTGGAATTTTGGAGCATTTTATTAATGGATTTATGTGTTAAAAGAAAAAAAATGAATGAAGAAAGAAAGTAGACAAAAAAAATCAAACCAACCACGACATGAACTTTAAGTTTAGAATTACTTAACTAATTAAATATATGTTGCTATTGTATATTTCGATATGTATCTGTATCAATAAGCTTAAGTTTTGTAGCGCACGCCAAAGGCTTTGAATGATATCATCTATGCGACTTTTCAAAATTTCAAACTAAACTACGATAAGCGATAAAGATATGTATTTCATCATTATGTATGGGGTGCCCAAGAGAGCAGAGACCCAAAAATTTGCCAGTTTAATTTAGCTCTACAAACATGCTTACATCTATTACATTATGACTTAACATATTATAAATTTATAAAAAAACAAAAAACAAATACAAAAAAAATACATATTTATTTTTAAATAAATAAATCCTTCAAACCCACACTATGTATGTATCTAAATATTTTATTTGGGCTGCCCCCAATAGCTGCAATTTTAAGTAAGTCTCGTTTAACAACGGATCCAATCTAAGTAAAGTTAAAACCAACTACTTAAATTAACAGTTAGAAATATTTAGTTAATCGTATTGCATATGCAGCTCTAAATACAACTGAATGCATTTCTGCTCTATAGTATTATACATACATATATATGTATATGTCAAGTCTGTTTTGAAGGTAAGTTAGTGGGTGAAATTTGAACTATTAACTTACATATAAAAATATATATAGTTTTCTTGGACTGCTTAAGTACCGCTTTTAATCTGTATTTGATAATCCAGTATTTCTAAAAATACAAAATCACTATTTTTTTTCCAAAACCAAATAAAACTAAGACCTCGAGCACTGCTGGATGCACAAGCAGAGTCCACAACCAGCATTCCAACCGTAAACCCGATCACAAATCCTAGGTAAGTCCATAAAAAATAGTATTGCTTCTGGTATTTGTTTATTTGCTTTAATAAAATCAAATAAAATTTGAACAAAATGGAAATCTGTGTTGTTATTGTTGTTGTTTTGGCATCGAACATGTTGCAAGTCGACAAGTTCGGCGATCCCCAATGTTTGGTTGGCTGCCTGTTGTCAGCGGCTCTGCTCCAGTTTGATGACGATCCATAATCGCTGGTTAGCTCTCCGACTGACCAAACAGTCTTACGTCTGCCGCCGACGTGATTGGACATTTAATACCTCCCAAGTGAACAGGAATTCTTTAGCTATATTGTAAGTATATTTCTAAACAGCTGCCACACAATTATTATGGAATATACTCGTGTCAAAATTTTCGTAAAAAAAAATAAAAATAAATGCATTATGCATTCTGCTTGGTCAGCTTCAAAGTGATATGCTCATATTCAAGTTCAATAATCTCGAAACTCAAATCAATTGAACTCAATTCCTTTGCAGATTGCCAATTAATTTGGTTAAATTAAAATGTGATTCAACAAAAAGAATTTGATGTACTTTAAATGTACTCGACAAGGTTAGCACTTTGGACACACACAAAAGTGTCATCATCAACATTGATGATCATCATCAAAGTGCAGTTCCGCAAATGCATTTAAATTGCTACACTCAAAAAGCGACTGCTGTAATAAATCGTAAATGTAAAATACTCTGCTCATGCTTTAGAGTTCGGCTACTGATCACACTAGTTTTTGCGCAGTGTAGCTTATGAATACAATGCATTTTTTTGGTGCAGGCTCTCGTGTCTCTCACATAAACATAGCAATCTCTCCGGCTATATGCGATGCATCACGTCATTCTGTGTCGGTTTTCGTTCTTTATCGTTATAATTAAACTGCAACAACAACGAATATTGCTTACACACACACACGCACACTTAAACATGCAGCATCAACTCGGAAAAATTCCTGGAAACTGTTGCACTGCCCAAGATATATGTAGATATTGAGATACATGCCTGAAAACACATGCACATATTTAGATATGAAATGGATGAGCTTGTAGCATGTTGTTGGTTGTGCTGTTGTGTGTGCCACATTCAAATAGTTGCGCACTCAAATTGTGGCGATTAAGCAAATCTCAAGACTACGCCAAGTTTCCCAAAACGGAAGTCCAGGCTACAGATAAGCACGGGTCAAACATATGCGAGATAAGTCTTGCGCTTCTCGCTTCTCGCTGTGCCACTTCAGATGTACATTTGTATTTGTTATACACATTCGTGAATCCATCAAATACACATATATTGCTAAGCATTATGTGCTGATTAATTATTAGTCCACAGTTGTCGCAGTAAGGTCAAGCCTTAATCAGAATTGGGTCTTATATATAATACAGTTATAACTCTTACATATATACAATTGCATGCGGCTGCTTTGTAAATAGAAATGATTTCAGAAATGCCAATTTGATGCCAAAGCGACACACATAAACATTATTCAAATGCTTTCAACCGGAGAACATGTGTTAAACATGCTGTCAAAATCATTTGAGGCCTTTTTCTGGTGTGGACCCGATTGTTTTGAAATAAGAACTTCCACAAAAATTCCGTGTTCTAAATGTCTTTTAGCTACAATTATTTGTATACAGCATTTTATGTGTACTATCTTTGTTCTTAAACCCTTTTGAGCATAGAATTTTGGAACTGATCGACGAAAAATATGAAATATTAAATAGTATATATTGCATTCGTAGATTTTTTCGCATTTGTCAAGTGCAACACCCACATAAATATCTTTGAAATTGCATTTTTAAAAGAAAGAGGTAATTTCTCTTTAAAAAAAAATGCATTCCGAATTGTATTTAGTTTAAAAAATGGAAAACAAATCATTAAACAAGCCTATAGTATAAATCAATCTTAAACTGAAAACATGAGTTTTTGAATTAACTCAAAATCAACAAATAATTGTATTAATAATCTTCGTCGAAGCATCAACAATGGTTTCGTTAGAATTGAATAGTTTCTAAATTTAAATGTTCAATAAGATTGTGTATCAGTTCTGAACGAATCTCAGAATGAGTGTCTCATTTGTTGGTCCACCCCAGTGCCAATCTCCATGTGTAAAATTCTCAATGGGAACAATGTGTGTGCATTGTTTCCATTCGAATTCCGTCACTTCCTGGTGAATGCTCTTCTCGAATCGGCTGCACGCTGAACAATATCATGCACAGAAATGCGGCGGCTTCTTAAATTTGTCTGGGGTTTGTGTAAGTCACCCCAAAAAGGGGGTTGTAAACATTTAAAGCACAAACCGTTACAAGTCGAGTACAGTCCCGAAAACTGAAGACATTTGCTTGGTTCGAAATGTGACAAAAACGTAAGGAAAAATAAAAAACACAAATCGCCAGCCGCGCTTGCAATGAAGGCTAAACTTAATCGCTGAAGGCTTTGACCTCCCGCACTGTCCAGCGAGATTAGAGAGTGGCTCACATGAATTTGAATTTGTCTTTGCTTTTGGTTACTTTCAGTTGAGAGCAGAACTCTTGACGAGATGCGTTCGATTTGGCTGCTGCTCTGCTTGGGGCTGCTGGCACTTTCGCAAGTGCACGCTGAGGATGATGGTTTTTTGGACGATATTGCCGAGTTCGATGACAACGATGAGGAGTTCCTCCAACTGCTAGAGGAGAAGAACAAGGTGTGCATCTTGATTGCGTCTAACATTTTATGCAGAATTCAAGGTTTTCACACTCTTTCGTCAATTTAGAATAAGGATGTGGAGCGTGAGAATGAACTGGCCCAGAAGCTGGCGGAGGTGCAGCATAATCTACTGACTCCGGTCGTCGAGGTTGATCCCTGTGAGACCATGCATTGCGGTGCCGGTCGCATCTGTCAGCTTAACAAGCAGGACAAGCCCGAGTGCATCTGCATACCCGAGTGTCCCGAGGAAACGGATACACGTCGTCGTGTGTGCACCAACAAGAACGAGACCTGGCCATCGGATTGTTCCGTCTACCAGCAGCGTTGCTGGTGCGACATCAAGGAGCCCGGCTGCCGTCATCCCGACAATGCCCATTTGCATATTGATTACTATGGCGAGTGCCACGAGTCGCGTGTCTGCGATGGCGAGGATCTGAAGGACTTCCCACGTCGCATGCGCGACTGGCTGTTCAACGTGATGCGCGATCTGGCCGAGCGCGATGAGCTCACCGAGCACTATATGCAAATGGAGCTGGAGGCCGAGACGAACAATTCGCGTCGCTGGGCCAATGCTGCAGTGTGGAAATGGTGCGATCTGGATGGCGACACCGATCGCTCTGTGTCACGTCACGAGCTGTTCCCCATTCGTGCCCCGCTGGTCAGCTTGGAGCACTGCATTGCACCGTTCCTCGAGTCGTGCGACTCCAACAATGATCATCGCATCACATTGATCGAGTGGGGCGCCTGCCTGGAGCTCGATGCCGAGGACCTCAAGGAGCGTTGTGAGGATGTGCAGAACTCGGTGCCACAATTGCTGGGCTGAACAGCAGATCCAGATCCAGATGCAAATGCAGCCAGTTATATATTTTAAGAATGTAATTTTACTACAATTTTGTGCACAATCGTTTATTTCGAAAAACAGTAAATTGTCTAATAAATTTTCCAATAACAATTTTTGGGCATTTTATATTTATTTTATTTTTTTTATTTAAAGTTTTTATTAAATTTATTTTGTGTAATTTACTTTGCTCTAAATTAAGTTTGCATTCGTTTTATCCTCATTCTCATTAACATTTTACTTGACAATTAAGTTTACATTTGTATGTGTAAGTGCATATATATGTGTGTGTGTGTGTGTTTGTGTTGATGTTTATGTTGCTTGGGGTTAGGGAGTAGGGCGGGGGAGATTGGATGTCTCTTGTATAGAATTTGTTGTTAATTAGAAATTGAGGCTTAGCAGCGCCTCAGCAGCAGCAGCTCGCACAGAATTTGTTTTTATTACAACGCGTCGTCGTTTAGTATGTAATATAAATTTTTAAACATAAGATTTGTGTTCCGAAAATGGTCAAAAAGGAAATTAATTAATAAGCCTGCGACAGAATGACATTGCCCTTTCGCTGCGGATCCTGAACGGTGTCCTCTTTCTTGCCAATGAGGGACTTGTGTATATGAGGAATAACGCCGCCACCGGCAATGGTTGCTTTGATCAGGCTGTCCAGCTCCTCGTCTCCGCGAATGGCCAATTGCAAGTGACGCGGCGTAATACGTTTGACTTTCAGATCTTTCGATGCATTGCCTGCCAACTCGAGCACCTGTGCACCAGCCAAATAAAAACAAAAATGATTATTGGAAAAATTTCTCATAAAAAATAATTGTGTTGCCAATCGGAATGTTAACTAACAGGCAATGTTAGGAGTCTGTTAGCAAAACGGGCATGTAAACAAATGCCGTCCTTAACATTTATCAATACACATGCACACCGAAAATAATCAACACATCTGTGAATGCCGTTATATTTACAGAAAAACCGCACATAAAAACGAATGGCGGGAAAAACTTACCTCAGCAGTTAAATATTCCAAAATGGCTGCAGAGTAGACGGCGGCGGTGGCACCAACGCGTCCGTGCGATGTGGTGCGGCTCTTTAGATGCCGATGAATACGACCAACGGGAAACTGTTTGAGGCATAAAAATCGCATTAAAATAAAATCTGCAACTGTTGTTTATGTTTTGCTACCCCAGCAGCTCAAGCCACTCAATTAGCTCTCAGCACAACACAAGCACTCACAAGCATAACACACACATGTGTATGCATTTATGCATACATGCGTGCCATGCACGTAAACGCACCCTGTTTACAATGTGTGTGTGTGTGAGCGGTAAAAAAAAAAGGCGCCAAAAATGTATTCGGTACAGACAACAACAACAGTAACTCACCTGAAGGCCCGCGCGCGCCGAGCGTGAAACCGCTTTCGCTTTGGCTTTACCAGAGTCTTTGCCCGCTTTGCCACCAGCCTGCAGAAGAGAATTGCGCACGGAATTAATAAAAACACAAATAACAAACACATACAACAAGAAAACGCCACACACAAAATGGTGGCGGCAAAAACGACACTAGCACTGAAGTTTGAGGTTAAACACGAACTTTTCATTTTTTTTTTTTTCAATTTGCCGCTCCGAAACACAATAACAACACTGGTTAGAATTTTGCATTTTCAAAATCAGCGCGCACAATTGCAATTGACAAATGGTTCACTCTACGTGGTCAGGCAGAGCATTTGAGATTTTAGGTCGCTACGCGAGGCACGCGCAATAAACTACAGTATGTCAAAACTGCTACTGGCAATCAGCTTGCGCGCTGCGCCGCAGTCGTCGCCGCCGCCACCACAGCGCTTGCCTTTGTTAAAAATTACCATTTTTATTTAATCGATATTTCCTTAGTAGTTAATTGTATGTGAGGGTGTGGAAATGCACTGGGCACGCAATTTGTTTTTATGCGTGGAATGATTTAAAAACAAATAAATCGAAACTGAGTAGTCTTTGGATTTTGGACGCGTCTACGCTGTGGTATAATTTTAACACGAATGAGACGCCGTCAGAGTTGCCAGTCACTCGCTTCGTCCGTCATTACTTATTTGATGTGTACGTTTGCAGCGAATGGCAATTTGATGTTATCACCCATCTCTACGAACCGATTGAACCGATAAGTCTTTTCGATAACTCTAGTTCGATACATTATACCAAAACAATAAACGCTGATAAATAAATATATTGTTAACAAACGTTAAAGAACGTTAAATAATTCACGCAATGAGTTCGGGCGCTGTACGCACGCCTGTATCGCAAATAATCCACACCAGGGACGATCAAGATGTGGATGACGAGCCCAAGAAGAAGTCACGCGAGGATTGGCGCAAGGCCAAGGAGCTGGAAGAGGCCCGAAAAGCGGGTACTGCACCAGCCGCCGTTGACGAGGAGGGTCGCGACATAAATCCACACATACCGCAATACATTTCCAATGCGCCCTGGTACTACGGCTCTCAGGGGCCCACGCTGAAACATCAGCGCCCGCAGCACGAGGATGAGCGTGGCCAATTGGACAACAAGGCGCCCAAAGGGCTGGATACCACGAAACTGGTGACCAAGTTTCGCAAGGGTGCCTGCGAGAATTGTGGTGCCATGACGCACAAGCGAAAGGATTGTCTGGAAAGGCCGCGCAAGGTGCAAGCCAAGTACGCCGAGTCAATTGTGGTGCATGACGAGCACATTGTGACGGATGCATCGATTAACTACGATGAGAAGCGGGATCGCTGGAGTTCCTACGATCCAGCCAATCATCGCGAAATCATCGAGGAATATGAAAAAGTGGAGGAAGCAAAGCGTCAGCTCAAAGCGGAAAAGTTGAAAAATGGTAAGCAATTAATATTCTTGCTCCAAGCAGCCAATTTGTAACAGTTTACATCTGCTCACAGATCCCGATGCTGAAATCTCGGACGAGGAGGGCAACGAGGACAAATACGTAGACGAGGTGGATATGCCGGGCACAAAAGTCGACTCCAAGCAGCGTATTACCGTTCGTAATTTGCGTATACGAGAAGACACGGCAAAATATTTACGCAATTTGGATCCCAATTCGGCTTACTATGATCCCAAGACACGCTCCATGCGCGACAACCCCAATCCAGCGGTACCAGAGGAGGAGTAAGTGCAGCCCACTTATAATTAAATTTATGAATATATTCAATTTGTATTTCATTTGCAGAGCGGAGTTTGCGGGTGAGAACTTTGTGCGCTTCTCTGGCGACACCACAGCGCAAGCCACGGCACAATTATTCGCATGGGAGGCGCATGGCAAGGGTGTTGATGTCCATTTGCTTGCCGAGCCCACAAAGCTGGAACTGCTGCAGAAAGAGTATGAACAGAAAAAGGAGCAGTTCAAGTCGAGTGTAAGTGAAAACAAAAAGCTGCCCTCATCTATACTAAGAACCACTCTTTCTTGCAGACCAAAACGGACATTGTGGAAAAGTATGGCGGCGATGAGCATTTGAAGGTGCCACCGAAATCCTTGCTGCTTGCACAGACCGAGGAGTATGTGGAGTACTCGCGCAGTGGCAAGGTGATCAAAGGTATCGAGAAGCCCAAGGCACGTAGTATTTATGAGGAGGATGTGTACATCAATAATCACACCACCATTTGGGGCAGCTATTGGAATGCCGGACGCTGGGGCTACAAGTGCTGCAAGTCCTTCATCAAAAACTCATATTGTGTAGGCATGCAAGAGCCGGAAGGCTATGCGGAACAACAGCAGCAGCAGCAGCCGCATCCGGCAACATCTGGTGCTGCTGCAACCGCATCCATTGTGGAGCCATTGGCAACAGTACAAGCAGCTGAAGATGATGTGAAACCTGCATCTGGATCCGAGGTGGACTCTGCGCCTAGTTCGGCAGACTCTTCTGAGGCTGAAGAGGAAGTGCAGCCGAGCAAAAAATCAAAGAAAAAGTCCAAGAAGCGCGAAAAGAAAAAGAAGGCCAAGGAGCAGCGTAAAAACAAAAAGAAACACAAAGAGGCCAAGGAGCCCAGGGCAAAGGAGACGTCGTTGACTCGATCCAAGCAGCTGCCCGAAGAAACTGATGATCGTAAGCGTCCATACAACAGCATGTACGATGTCAAAGCACCCACCGAGGAGGAAATCGAGGAATGGAAGAAGAAACGCACGCGCACCGATGATCCAATGCTTCAATTCTTATGAGCAAATGTTCTCCACATGAAAACAAAACAAATAAATAGGAATAAGCGACGAAATGCAAATTATAATTGGATTTTCAACAATGACTTGACTTTGATATTTGATATATAATAATGATATATAATGATATTATCAACAGCAGAGTTTTAAATGGAAATTCCCCACTGAAGCAGCAATTTACAATTGTATAAATAATATGTTTGTTTTTTTTTTTTTTATTATTATTTATCGTTCACACAATGGCATACTGCTCATAGAGCAGTTCACGTATCTTGTAGTATTCCTCCGATATGCAGCCCTCCATGGCCACCTTGCCGGTGTCGACGCGTCGCAACGCGAGAGTTCCGTTGCAACACCATAGAACGCCGCCAGAGAATTCCGAGTTGATGCTGTTGCGCATGAGGACCTGCTTGAAGTCGGACAATTTGAGTTCGTTGATCAAGACCGAGTTGTGCACGGGTATCTCGTCTTCGGCGAGCGTCTCCAAGGTGAGAGTTTTGCCCTCCTGGGCGGCCACATCCTGTTCGACGGTGATTTCCGATTGATTGGGTGCATCGATTGCCTGCAGACGCATGCCAAGTCGGCCATCGATCCAGGCCACCTCGGCGTCTTTGCCCTTTTGGAACTGCAGCTGGGAGACGAGACCCTCGGTGAGACGCACTTGATAAATGTGGATCTCCGTTGTCACATCGATTATTTCGCCCTTCTGGGGCGTGAAGACACGGGCGCCCACATTCTGTTCACAGTGCTTGGCTACCACCTGGGTGCCCTCGGCAGTGCCATGGACGACAATGACGCGACGCGGGCGCAGCTGGGATAGAATCTTAAGCATCGATTCGCCATCGGATCGTCCCTCGAAATCGATGCGTTGGATTTGTGCATGGACCTCGATTGTCTTGCGTTGACTAATCAGCTTGGTGGGCTTCTCCAGCAGTTGGACATCATTGTCCAGATTGCCATTTGAATGCAGTTCGGCGTGGGGCTCCTCCTTTTTGACATTCTCCTTGTTCTGATCGTCCATGGCCGTGTAGTCATAGTTGGCGTCTACAATGCGATAGTCATCTAAATTGATAACCTCCCCATAATCGTCGTACTTGATCTTTTCCTCATGGAACGGAAACATGACGTGATGGCGTTTGTTTGACTTGAAGAAGCCGGAATGATGGCGACCCTCCGCCCGGACCACAATATCGTGTTTGCCCGTTATGACGCTCATTTCAATATCATCCTCGGACTCGGAGCTGCTCGACTCTTCCACTTCTGGCTTGACAATCAACGGATTTAACTTTTCGCCCTGTGTGCGCAAATATTCCTCTAGTTCGGCGCCTTCGAGCTCCACGCGACGACGCACATCCAACTCAAGTTGTCTACCCGGCACCGAATTCTCCACCAGCTCCATGCTCAACGAACCCGGACCGGTGCGTGTTGTGAAAATGATACTGTTATTGGGATTACCTGCCCATTGTACGAACAGGTCACGTGTGAAGCCACTCTCCATGTCCGGTGTGCTGGCCAGCACCACCTTCGGACCGACAGGCAGCTTGTAGACATCGGCCAGGGTGTGGCACAGATTTATGTGCTTGAATTGGAAGGGATTGTTGCGTGCACCTTCGAAGGCTTTGGTCAGCTTGTCGCTCATCCATTCGATTTGCGACTTGGCAAACTCGATGACGTTGTAGCTGACGTTGTTCAGAAGTGCCAGCGAATAGGCCATTAAGCCTGATTCTTTGTTCTTCCACAGCTGGTCGAGCATGTGGGCCAGCTCCAGGACACGACCAGCCGTATCGACAGCGATGAGCACATTGCCATTGTTGCGCACCGTCTGCAGAATGTTGGTCATCAGTTTTTCATCGCGGGCACGTCGTCGCGCCTGTTGATATTGTGCATTGTAGGCGTCGGTGATCAGTAGCGATGGTCGCTGCAGTCTGTCCAATTCACAGCCACTGAGATGCCGTTCCTTCTTGTGGTTGAAATCGATGGCATACACTATGTCTTCCTCGCCAACCTTGACGATCTTCCAAATGGTACCGCCTATCATGTGTCCAGCGCTGAGCGGCGTTATGGAAATCCCATATCCTTTGCCCTTCAGCGACACCGTTTGATTGTACTTTAACTGTGTGATTTTATCAAAGGCTGTGTCCACATCGTCTAGTGAAAACAGATCGAAATCGTACATATTAAAATGTGACATGTACAAATCGTACATAAACATTTGGCCCATTTTGAAGACGGGTATCGTGGCGTAAATGGGACAATTGAGTCCCAACTTGCCAACGAGATACGGAAGTGCACCCAGATGATATGCATCTGGATGGGAGAGCAGCACGGCATCCAGTGTATGCACTTGCCTGAAGCGAAATGCGTTAGTAAATCATTTTTCTTCAGTATCGAGTTTCTGTCACCTTTTCAATTCCTTTATAAAATTTGGATCAAATTTCTCATCCCAGCCACAGTCGAGCAGTATTCGCACATCGTCAATTTGTAGAATGTAGCAAGGCGGCGATTCATCCATGGCACCAGATATGGTGTGCAGTTTAATAATTGACGTCATTTTGCAATTATTGCTTTTAGCGTCCAAAAAAAAACTAATACATTTGATATAAATAACAAAGATTCGGAACTCAGCCGGTTAAGCTCGTTCGATAGTTAATACCACATGTGCGATAGATATATCGATAATCGTATTTTTGAGTTTACTTTATTTTGGCGCAATTGAAGCAAAGCAAGGCTGAATTTAGCACTAAAAATGGCAGAATTATTAACATTTAAATGGAAATTGACAACTTACGGGTTACAGTGGCACATCGATAACTAAAGCAAAATAGCTGTTAGTTTTAGGGTGACGACCAAAAAGGTAGTATTACATCAATTCAATTTGATTTTGTAAATGCACATTCAACTTAAAAGATACACAAACTCGTATATCATTTACATATCAAATAATTATTAATAATTCATCAAAGTCAAATTTACGCTTAGAGAAACGTTCATCTACTGATAAGACTAATATGACGTTTATTTTATTTAATTATACATTGATTGGCTATGTGCAACATTTATTTGATAATTACAATCTTTCAAATCAATGTAGACACTTGTACGTATCTTAGCCGAAATTCAATCAAATTAAGATAGTTCTCGTGCATCGCGAAAAGTCATGTCAATGTCATTAAATTCCTCCAAATGGCGATGATTTGAACGTTTCAACTGTAGGCGACGATAAGCAGCCTGGGTGCGTTTTATGGGACGCAGTGTAATGAAACAATAAAATATCAGAGTGACAACAATCACTCCCAACAAAATCAGCACAATGGCAACTGCGACATACTCTGGCTTTGCCGGCATGCGTTCGCGGCTGGTAGTTGCCGACTCGCGAAGACAATACTCTGCCTGAGTGCTATTTATGATTTGCAGTGACCAGTTGGGATTTTGATGATATCCCTGCCAGCAGACGCAATTCAAGTCGGCGACAACCTTTGTGCATATGGAACGATCCGGGCATTCATCCTGCTTCGTGCAGTTCTTAACTGTAATCGGTTTGTATTTAATATTCATCTAAACAAAAATTGGTTATTACTGACGTTGCAGTGTTTGTTCTTCCGCGGCGTGCAAACCAATAAAATAACTGCTGCAGATCACTAGGTAAACAGCACATTTGAATGCCTTGCACATTTCAGTTGATCAAATAGACATAGACGTTAGCTTTAACTGTTTTACGTTCGCACTGAGCAAGCTATAATTACTAAGTGCTTTTGAATATCTTATCGACCATTGTGTTATCAATTAAAATAAGTAAATTAGTGTGTACAAAGATATTCATATATTATCGAAAATATTTCTTGGTCAGTTGGTAAACGGATTTTTTAAATTGTTTTCTATTCTTTCTATTTATAGTTAACTTCCTGTGAGTATTCAACTGAATTAAAATGCTTAAGTGAAAGAGATAACACAATTATTTTTGAATTGTTCTTGCACAAACTAACGATCGATAACGTTAGGAAACAGCTGTGCTGAAAATACTAAGAGCTTTCAATCAGTTAAAAGCTATTAACATTAATACTGCATACTTTGGCGAAATGTTAATGCAGTATTTTTCTTAGTTGTTGCTTGGTATCTCAACAGCATCAATATATAGTAGGGTGGTGGTTAGATGCTGTTAGATTTGTATTTATGTTACTGCCGCTAACATTATTACTGCATTATTCCGGCAAAATGTTAATACAGTATTTTTTAGTTGCTTTGTGATGGTTTTCGTGTGTAGTCCGCTTATCATATGAAAACCGATAAAAGATATTATACAATTAGAGCAATGATTCATCCTAAGTCAATAAACTGTAGGTGAATAATGTTAATACGGCTGTGCCAGCACAGTTTTCATATCTATGACTTGCTCATACTCAGTGGTGGTCTAATACTGCTCGTCTACATTCTGCTTCCTCATCGATTTGCACTGCGTTATGACTACATCGATAGGGAGCACATTGAGGAGGCGTTGCAGCCGGCAACCATACCAAATATCTCAATGCCGCAGGCATTCGATTGCAGCTACAAGGAGGTGATTGCCGACAGCGCCTTCGTTTACGATGTGTTCCATCGCGAACGGATTCATCGTGGCGAGGAAATCCGACTGGGCGGTGAATACCAACCAGAGGATTGCAATGCCCGTTTTAGTACGGCTATCATTGTACCGTATCGGGATCGACAGGAGCAGTTGGCCGCTTTTCTCAACTACATGCACAACTATCTGCGCCTGCAGCTAATCCATTATCGAATATTTGTCGTGGAGCAGAGCGATCGCAAACCCTTCAATCGCGCCATGCTCTTCAATATTGGCGCCAAGGTGGCGGAGGCATATGGCTATCCCTGCTTGATACTGCACGACGTGGATCTAATGCCACTCAACTCGGGCCAGATCTATGTGTGCTCAGCTCTGCCACGGCACATGAGCTCGGCGCTGGACAGCTGGCGCTTCCATCTGCCGTATCGGACACTTTTCGGTGGCGTCGTGGCCATTAGCACCACACACTTCAAGATGATTAACGGCATGTCGAATCTATATCATGGCTGGGGTGGCGAGGACGATGATTTGTATGAGCGTCTGAAGATTGTTGGCATTGAGATCTGTCGCTTTGATCCCGCGTACAGTGAGTACACAATGCTGAAGCACAAACATGCAATACCCAATGAGAATCGCATGGCCCTGCTGCGATCCGCTTCCCTGCGCATGCACTCCGACGGTCTCAATTCGTTGGTCTACAAGGAGGTGGAGCGCCGACTGCACAGCCTCTTCACGCACATCCTGGTCGAGACCTAGGTGCATGCACAAAGTAATCGGCTTTAGCTTTGCCAAGCGCAACTTGTTACTTAGCTTTTAGGGCTTGTTTTACTCTAGAAATCTCTGTAAGTAAATGAATTTCCAATTGTATGTACTATGTACAAAGCACAATGTTAGCCAGAATGGAAAGCGCATTGTTATAATGTACAGTAGTCACTAGGGAATTAAAGCGGTTCTGTTCCAGTGTTTATATCAGTATCCAAAGAATTGAAATACCTAAAAGTGAAATGAAATATTGAATTATCCATTGTATTAAACTAAATGGTTTCAATGGACTAATTCAATAGAATTAATACAAATAATTGGCACCAAATCAAATAATCGAATATCATCTGAATATGTTTAAGAAATAAAATTAAATGAAAAATGCGAATGGCTTTCATTATTTCTTGATTTGCCAGTGACTACTGTTTGGTTGAGATTTTTGTAGATTCAAAGTATGAAATTAGTTTAGCATTAAATTATAGCCTCAGCGAGAATAAATAAATTAAATAAAAAGAAAATGAACGTTGATCGTTTTAAATTGATTAAGTATATTTTTTAACTAACGTGTGTACTTCGGAGATACACTAAGGAGCAGATTGCACAATACACAATATATATATAATTATAGGTTGGTTGACTGTTTGCCTAGACTAAGAATAAATTATACACATTCACTTTAGACAATTGATATTTTGTTGAACGATGCAACGAGCAAAACTTCAAACAGCTTAAAAAACTAACTCGCATACATACAAACACATACACACAATTGCACAGACATTCATATATAATTTATATAGTACGATATAGTTAATTTTTTGTTTTTTTTTTTGTTGTCTTTTAAAACATTGGCTATTTGGAGCACATGCTCGGTGAGCATGCAACGGGAATGATGTGTCTAGTTCAAGAAGTTAAGTATATCCTGTTGTGACAACATATTAAGATTCTTGCCATCCGTGGACTGCGTCAACTGTGTTTGCGGCAGCAGCGTGGTTGTGGAAGTGACAGTTGCGCTCCGATTCATTGGCTTGACCAGGCTGATACTCTGCTGCTGCTGCATGCTATTCATATTATTCACCGAATTGTAACTCGTCGGATAAATATAATTAACCGTGGGCTGCTGCACCGTGTACATATTGGCACCGTTGGCATTATTCGGCTTGTTGGCCACTTGGCCGACGGCACCCGCTGACCCAAACGGATCCAAATCGTCCAGCGAGGAGAAGTTGTTGTTGCTGGCCTGCGGCGAGGCGAGCTGATGGTTCATGACCAGTGGATTTGCGCTGTGCCAATTGGTGCTATTATTGCTGCTCGCATTAAACTGCAAGCCCTGCGGGGGAGCAACTGCTGCTACTGCTTGAGCGCTAGGGGCAATCGATAGGTTGCTGAGATTGCTTTGCATCAGCGAGGAGAACATATCCGGCTTCGATATTGCGTCTGTCGTTGTATTGTGCGTTATTCTGTAATAATAAATTCTTGACTTAATATTCATGGTATTTGGCACGGCAATGGATGCTCTACTTGAGTTGCTCCCTGGTCTTGATGGGCGCCAGTGCTGTGGGTATTGTGGGCTTTGGCTTCACAGCATTCGGTGGCTGTCCCACGCTGAAGCCCGAGAACATATCATCATCGCTTTTGTTGCCATTGCTGACACCGTAATTGCCTGAATGCGAAAGCGTTGCGTTGTCCATCTCATTGGCCAATATCTCGGAAGCATCCTTGGGTCTAATACGCAAAAATAGTCATGTTTAGTAAATGATTTTATGCTTGAAGTATTTCACTAGACTTCTTACTTATTGTCACGCTGTATGGTGGACAATTGCTGCAGCTTTTCGCGCTGCTCCTGCTCCACCCGGCCCAGCATCTCTTTGATTAGCGATACAATTGTATTGAACTGCGCTATGGTCAGTCCATTTTCAACGCTTAGCGGCACCAGAAACGGTATGCACTTGTGCGCCATTACATCCTTGGTGATGCCCAACTTGGTGTTTGTCATGGCAATTTTATAAATGCCTGCAAGGAAAAGGTTCGATAGTGAAATATGCACAAATATTATGAAATTTTGATGAGCAAACCTATTATGGCCATAACAATTGCGGGCTCGCGACTTTGAATTTGCTGTAAAAAGGGTAGAATTTCATCTAGCACCAGCCACTTGTCCAGATTCTCCAGCAGTTTGCCAATCGATATTAGACAGTTGACTTTAACGGAAACATTGTTGCTCAGCAGACAGAGTTTCTTAATACGCGGTATGACAGCATTTTTCATGGCATTGTAATCGATGAGAGTGGAGAAGGTAGGGAGCACGCCAAGGCATAGCTCCTGTATTTGAGGCATATCACACTCCAGTGACCGATAGAGCAACGGCAGCACACTCTGTTTTACTTCCTCCGCCGGTGTTAGCTTCAGCAGCAAATCCATTTTCTGCATGAAGATCAACAGAATCTGGATGGGATCCGTTAACTTAAATATGGGCTTCAAGTGTGGCAGTATGTGATCGCAATATTCACGCTGGCTGCTCATTTCGGCAATCAGCAGCACATTGGGCAGCACAAATGGAATCATGGGCGAGTTGACAAACTCCTTAATCAGATACGGCAATATGGAGTGTAGATTCACACGATGCGGCAACGTTGGTATAATCTGTGGCAGACCCTTGTAGAATTTGGATTTCTGTAGATTATCCCATTGGTAAAGCGAGTCCAAATAGCTGAGTGTCTTGACGCCCACGTCTTGAAAGTATGCAATCTGTTTCAGCTCATGCAATTTGGGTCGCATACTGGCGCTGGGATGCAAAAGGGCCTTCAGACTTTCAGTTAGCTCATTTGGAATGTTATTCATGGCTGGATATTTGCGCTGATTCAACTCGTTGGCATAACGCCGAAATCCGCTGTAATCGCTGCCAAACATTTTTAGCGGCTTGCCCGAATAAATTGTAAAAATGAGCACACCTAAAATGAAGTTAGTTTAGCTGATTGTCATTAATAACAAATGACATGATGGGCGCTTACCCAACGCGAAGAGGTCACTGTCTGGTGTGTTGACACTGTTCAAGGCTAGCTCTGGCGCTGTATATTCCAAACTGGGCTGGGCCAGCACATGCAGCGATGTGCTATACTCTCGACATGGCCAGTGGGCTGTGCCATTTGTCGCCGGTTGGTTGGCTATGCAGAAATCAAAGCCAAACAGTTTCCAGCTGCGGTTCTTGTTGATCACAATCGTTTCGGCGCTGATATTGCGATGCACTATTTTTGCATCGTTGTGCAGAAATTGCAGGCCATCGAAGAGCTGCAGTAGTCCATGTCGTATTTCCACATCGTATAGCTTTTTGTCAGAGCGCACCGAGTCTCCCACAACATTTGCGAGTGATGCAAAGACCGGCTCCGTGGCAAAAGCCAGCGAGTCACGACTCTCCTCTAGCGGATGTTGTACGGTCAGCACATGTGGATGCCGTATTTTTGTTAGCTGCTGCACACCCCGCCGCAGCGTTTCCAGCATTGTCTCACGGTCATCTTTCGACCAGCGTTCCAGTACCTTTTTCTCAAACACAAACACGGAGACTTCCTGCTTGGTGCTTTTCTTGTGGCCATTGTACACCTTCCACATGAGTCCTAAATGAGTTAATCATATTGTATTCCAGGATTCGCATATGTCAGCAAACATTTTTTTTGCTCTTACCCACACCCGCTGTGCAAATTTGGTCCAGTACTTCGTACTCTCGTGTTACATTATTGCCAGGGAGCACACCTGAGAGCTGCGAGACTGTTTGCACTGCTGACGAGTAGAATTTGTTAATCACGTCCATGCTTGCTGCTTTTAATAATTAAATTCAGCAGCTTTGCAATGATCCCAAATATTTTTAGTCAAATTCTTTTTGTTTTAGTAATCAATAGAGTTGGTTGGGTTCAGAACTAGTTCGACTGAACTTCTCGCCTAATTTGCAACTGTTATCGACTGTTGCCCTGACTTATCGAACTACTGGAATCGAAAGTGAACTTGCTTTTCGCGCGCTTTTCAAATATAATTATTATTTATTGGTTTTTATTTCTCGATGAAGTCATGCAGTTTCGGTAGTAACGCTTGAGTTTGTTATGTGTAAAATAAAGTAAACATTTTCAACGGGGTTTGCTTTCATTAACATTTGCAGATTATTTACTATTTATGAGTAGATAGTCAGCAGTGGAAGTTCATCAGTATCGAGTTAATTGCTTTGCATCCGCTATTTACCCTTAATACAAATTAATGGTTATAATATTTTTATATTGCTTATCTAGAATAATTGAGTGTATAAAAGTCATTTAATACTCGAAAAGTATAATCAAACTGTTACACAAAACTACAATAATTTTTGCCAATTTCCTCACGAAAAATCTTTATTTTGAAGCAATTTGATTCATTAAGTAGTATCGAGTATCAACATTAAACAATAAATATCCAAGTACTGTAAAATGTTCAAGGCATTTTAAATAAGTAATTTTTTTAAACAATATTTTTCTCTCGATAAAAATAATACAAAAATAACTTTAACACTGCTAAACAATTTTATTTTTTACTCTGTGGTCAATTACTCTTTATTGAAACGTAACTAATGTGTTTTAAAAATATAGCAACGAACAATTGTTAAACGATTAGTCTAAGCCATTCTGTTTTAAAACTCAAACAATAAAGTTCACTCGCTTTGATATGGCACAAAGTGTAAACCATAAAATCCTATGGAATTTCATAATTTTGACTAGCCTGCTGACGTTCAATGTAATTTTAAATAATAAATGTAATCAAAATACAAAAACAAGCTGAAAAAATATACTAATATTATTATTATTATTATTTTTTTTTGCAGAGTGCTGTTGTCTTTAAGTTGACCAATGCGGTCTGTGAATCATTCAACAAATCCTCTGTGGTCGTGAATCAATGCCGCTTGAGGGCCGTTCAACGGAACAAAGCTGTTCTCAATATTGAGGTGAATATTTTGGTTCCAGCTGAATATATCGAGGTGAGAATGCAAATACTGAGAAAAGGAAATGGCTATAAGCCGTGGCTATTTGATGTCACACTTGATGCTTGTAAGTTTCTGCGAAAGAGCTTCAATCCAGCCGTGACTATGGTTTGGGCACTATTTAAGGATTTCACCAATATTAATCATACATGCCCTCTTCAAGTGAGTATACGATTCTATATAAGCAATTGCTGTCATTCACTGTTCATTATTTTATAGGGCTATACAGTTTTGAAGGACTTTTACCCTAGACCCGAGAAGTTACTTAACCCGTTTCCCACTGGAGAATATTTATTAATTGCAACCTTTAAATTCAATCATCAACGAGCTATTTCTTTGAAGTTTTACATAACATACGAAGAAGATTTCGTGTCAAATTAAATAACATTTCAATTGGAGTTCAGAGAACTTTTATATACTTTTATTAAATATATTATTATATGTATTTATTATATAAATTTTTATTAACATTTATTGCATCGTGGCATTTAAAAAAAGAAAATGTTTTAAAGTGTTATTGATATAAAAAATAAAACAAATACAATTATATATATTTAATCGCAGAATAGCGGAGTAATTTTGTAATTAAGCATAAAATGGCAAGTATTTTTTTAAATTTGTTTTTAATTGGACCTGCTAAAGCACATAGGACATATATGGTTATTAATGCAAATCGAAGTAAAGCAAATATATTTGCATGGCGATGCCGCATTTCTTTCTAAGTATTATTGGAAATTGCTGCTTAAGTTTGTAAGAGCAAATATTTAAATATTTTTCTGCCAAATAGCAAATCAAATACTCAATTTGGTAGCAAATTTGCTTAGTCAAGTAAACGCACACAATGTGCCCACTTTTACTTAAAGTCAAACACTCTGACGTTATTTGAAAAATATTTTGACACGCCTTCTATGCACATATAAATATTAGTTTTCATTTCCCGTTTGTGTCGTAAAGCAATATATATATATATATTTAATTAAATTTTTAACTAATATTTTTGATTTTCAAATGAATTTGAAATGAAACAGTCTTGATTGATTTCAATTGGAAGTAATTTGTTTTTGGCATTGCATCAAAATTGTCGTTGTGAAAAAGACTTTGTTTTTATTTCAAAGTAAATACGCTGACATTATTTTAAAAATAGTAAAGTAAACATATTTAAATATATTTGATATGTTTTCAAACTATATATATGAATATTAGCTTTCATTTAAATTTTATGCTATGAAGAAGTATTTAAATATGAACAAAATATCTCTATTAAATCTTATTTTAAAATTTGAAATTTTAAAATGAAATGAAAACAAACAATTCGCGAAATAATTAACTTGGAAATAATTTGTTTTTGGCATTTCGCTTTCTTTCGAAACAATATCAGATTTCAACAATGTTGCTGCCATTTGGCATAGCTTTAAATATTATTTAAATATTAATAATTAGTTGAAGATAACTCTCAACTTTGTCGATCAGACAATTAGCAAGTATATCGGAATACAAATATAAACGTTTCTATATATATATTTACCTTTCGTTTGATACATTGGATTGTTAGCCAACCGCCTTACGACCGCCTAATTGTATTTGAAATGCATTTGTTTACCCGCTAAATGAATAGTTTCGCGATATTTATACCTGCCCCCGGGGCAATGCAAAGCACACAACACGACGTGTGTGTGGATGCATATTGTATACATACGCATATATAAAGCTGCTCAATAAATAAATGCTCAAAAACACACGAATGCATTTAGAAAAATCGCATTTGGGACTTTATTGGTGAATACAATCTCACATAGACAGACACAGCCCGACAGGAGATAGCATTTGGGAGCTTAGCCCGACTCTGAGCGCCTGGTGAAAGATGGCGATGAAATTACGAAATGCATTCAAGTTGTTTACGCGATTTGTAGCTGTGGCCAAATGCTGAACTCGCTCTGAATTTCAATGGATATTTGTTTGTTTTTTTTTTTTTTTGTTTTTTGTGTGAGGTGAACACTTTGGCCAAGTGCTGGTAGTTTTTGCGTTCTATCATGACAGGTATTTTTATATGGGAGGGAATTAACGTCGTACGCCGAACGGCTCATGTGTGTTGAGTCATAAAATAAATCAGGCAGCTTGACACAAGCGTCGATGTTAAATCACGCCGATCAAATCGCATTTCGAGAGGGGTTCTGCGCCATTGACCCATCCCCAATTGGCCCTCGTTAATAATTATGCAGTGACAAGCAGACTGTAATCCATAAAAACGTATATGTATATTTCGTGCAAATCCGCAATGACAATTACTTCTGTGATATGTTGCTAATTTGTACTTTGACTTTTTATATGTTTCTCTATTTGTTTGTTTACGTTGAGTACGTTTCGGCTGTCTGGGTTGGGCCAGGCTTGGTATGCCAAAAAAATCATGACTTGCCAAAATAGATAATGTTATTCATCATAATTGCAGGTAATAAATACCTGTTGTTGTGCGAGGCAATGTGGGTGGCAAAGCGATTGGCTAGTTGAATGCAGAGCACATATCGTGCTTCACTTTTGTGGCTCGCATTGAAATATTGCTCCTATACCGAGAATACTATAAAAGTGAAGATTTTATATTTACCAAATAGATTTGAGCACATTTATTTCGTATGAAATTCTCAATTAAATACAGAAAATTGCAAATTACTTTTTAATTTGCTGTACGACTTAAAGTGCATCTAGAGTCTTTTTCTGTCTAGATACATTTATCATCTTTATCGCTCTTCTTTTATTGCATTTTATCAAAATCATTAATTTATTTATTTGCTTTTTGATATATTTTTAGAAATCTCTTTCACAAAAATACATTCTGTAAATAGTTTTGTGAAATGTAACCAATTTATAACTATAAAGTTGGATTTAATAATTGAACTCTGGTGTTATATGATTCTTAAAGATACTCCACATATTATAATATTATTATACGATTGATTAATGAAAAGGTTGGCTTAATATAAAGTAAAAAGCGACAGTTGACTGAACCTTAAATTAAATATTTAATTGCTGGCCTAATAAGTAAAAAAGGGTTCGGCCTGTATATCTATTGACTCTTATCTTTATCAATATCTCCTGCCTTAATTATAAAAAAATAATAATAAATATACTAATAAACGAAATGCACTTCTTGAAATTTTCTGGTTTCTGGATACGTATTTTTCACACAATTTGCTTGTATTTTCCCTTTTCTGTAGTTTACAATTAATATGAATTCAATAAGCGCACACATAACGTATGAGTGATTTTCTGTTTCCTACAAATTAGTATTGCCATAACATACAATTTGTAAGCACACACACACAATATGATAATGTGTATATATATATCATATAAAGAGAATCAATGTACTTGAATTGGTGCTTCACAGACATCATTAAAATACAATAAAGAGCATAAGAATGCACAAATTGAATTAATGCGTCTTTTGTTTGTGAAGGAATACAAACATGTGTATTTTAGTTAATAGATTTGTGCCTTTTGTTGTGCGAAAAGATACAAAAGCACGATATGATTGCAAACGGCAAAAACAAACAAACAAACACGCTGGCAATTACGTGATTGATTGCCGCGACGCGATTAAAGCTTTAAGAGTAAGTCTACTGTGGAATATTCATTTGGTCGTCTGGAATAAAAAGGAAAATTACAGAACAGCTGAAATTTATGAGTGAACAACGACAAACGACGTCTCGGGCGCACAAGGCAGGCATACCAATTAGGATCAACTGACGGATATGGACTGATCACTTGACGATGATTCAAACCGATTGCAAAGGCTCAAAGTGGCATTCCCCCCTTAATGCTTAGTGTCAGGCCATGTGAACTTCAGACTCTTGTAAACAATAAAAAAAATGCTATGACAAAAAAATCCTTTCATAAGTAAATAATAAATGAAAATATGCCTCAAGTCAATAAGCAGCAAGTGAACTGTTGAATAAAAGCAACAGGTTGCTCAGGTAATTAATGAACATTTTCGACAGCGCCACTCAATTTGACTTTTTTGCCTGTAACAGCGACGGCGACGCTGACTGAGACGCTGACTGAGACGCTGACTGAGACGCTGACTGAGACGCTGACTAAGACGCTGACTGCGACGGTGACTGCAACGCTGACGTTAGCTACCCCCAAAGCCTGGCTTTGCCGCCTACAATGCCGTCGTTGTTGTTGTGATTGTTGTTGTTGTTGTTGCTGTCGTCGCAGCCAACGTCAGAAGTGATAGGCGAGCGCAGTAACCGCAGCAACCGCAACGGCGACTGTGGCAGCGGCGGCGTCAATAGCCACGCTAAGCGGCGTTCAGGCCCCTGTTTGCGCCGCTTGTCAGGTGTTGTCGTTTTTGCAAGCCGCACTCGGCCTGAGTCTGTTTTCGTCTGCCTGGCAGCGCGGTTCTGGAACGCGTTTAGTTTAGCTGGAGAGTGAGCTCGGTTTCGGTGGCTTAATCATTTTTGATGGTACGCTTGGCGCGATATTTCTTTTCGCGAAAAAGCAGGCAAGTCGTTTTTCCTGAAATATAAAAAATTTTTGTGAGCTCGGTTTCGGACTCGGAATTTGAATTTTGCCGCTAGCCAGCCAGTCCAATTGTGCAACGTCGTCGTGCAGTTGCGTGAAAAGTGGAAAAAATTTCGAAAGTGCGCGGCGAACACAATTTGGAAATATATATATATATATATATATATATATAAATAATATATACACACAATTCATCATAGTGGAAATCTTGATTTGTTTTGAAAACCAATTATTGCGCAGCAAGACTTCCAGATCGACATTGCCTATAATTAGGAGACTTAGCCGTCTGTTACCATTGGATTCGTGAGTCAGAGTAAGCCACTTTCAAATATTTTTGTGATTCAAGATATTACTTATTGGGGGGCAGTACCCAAATATCCGTTGCCTAAGGCAAGAAAAGACAAGAAAATATGTATTCGTATTTATAATTTTTGTTTTCCTTGTTGAAAACTGTTCATGAAAATCTGAATACGAGAGAATAATGCGCTTATTTCCAAGTGAAAAGTAAAGTTACTTTTTAAACGATTTTTGCAAGAAAGATTTCAATTTTACTTTGGGAAATTTGAAATATTAATCATACGCCTGGTTGAACAGTGACTTTTGTAATACAGCAAGAAATTGTTTATGAATTTCACATAATGAAGATAATACATTTTTTACTTAAAAATATTACACATATTAGAGTTTTTAAATCAAGAAAATGTTAACCAGCGAATTTGCATTTTGTGAATTCCTAATTTCTTTCTATGCCAGTTGATGTTGTTTACTGAAATGCAATTCAAACAAGTCGATTAATATTAATTAAGTTAATTGTGCAGTTTGTTATATATATATATCTTCAATCTGTGAGATCAATTATACGTTTTTTTTCTTAGTATTTTTCTTTTGCTCAGCACTTAACATACTTAATGTTTTTATTTAAGTACACACTGCACAAATAAATACAAAAATCAAGTTGTGGTTGCAAACAAATATTGAAAGTATACAACATATCTATTAGCGACTGTAATAAAAATAAATAAAAAACGAACGCAGTAGAAGTAGAAGTTGAATTTGAAGTATTTGGGCAGTCGCCGTTCACTTGCGATTAATTCAAGCATGCTAATGTTTTGCGCTGTCGCACGTGTAACTACTATCATCATATATATATATATATATATATATATATATATCTGTATGCATGTGTGTGCAAAATTTTGATTTTCAGCTAAGTAAAACCTTGGGAAAAAAAACTTAATCGATGCAAATATTGAATCAAAGTCAAACAGCATTAAACTTGCCGAACTTTACCCAGTGTCTGAAAAAGTTTGTTTTTCCTTTGCATGAGGCGTAAAAACTGCATAAGCGACGACGCAGACATGCACACTGCAAGAGTGAGGGGGTGATGTGAGACAGAGAGAGAGAGAGAGAGAGAGAGAGAGAAAGAGAGAGATGGAGTGACTGACAGACTAAGGCGAGAGACGCCGAAAGTTTGGATGTTGGAGCCAAGGCTTTAGTCTAAGGTTTTATGAATGAGCGCAGCGTAGCGCAAATATTTGACAAATCCCGCGAATGCGTTGCTTACTTATGCTGTCGTCACGTCGAGATGCTTTCGATGGGTTTGCCCGGCCAGTCATACTGATGAGCAGCTTGCAGGAAGCTGGCGCCTGAATTCTAATCTACGCCCAGGCACATACTTACATATGTACTGTGCATCTATTTACAGGCATTGGCATTGGCAACCACAAAAAAAAGTAGAAAAAAACAGAAAAAAACACACACACATACAGAAATTTGCATGGAATTTTATTGAGGTGTAATTTATATATTTCGCACCTTGTGCACCTTTTGCAGTTTTCAATTCGCTTGGCTCGTTTGTAGCTGCTGTTGTCGCTGCTGCGACTGCTGCTGGTGTTGTTGTTTATGCAATATTTGCGAGCTGAGGCGTACACCAAAGGAAAGTGCACAATGCCCAGACTCGGCTTGAGATTCAGTTACCACATACACACACACTCTTGCACATGCCCCAACGCTAACGAGTGCAAGCGGGTATCTGTATCTTACGGATAGCTTACACACACACACAAATAAACACACACACACAGAGACACAGACACCGCAGCACTGAACTGAAATGCGCCAATTTGTATGCAAGTGGCGTTAATCGTGTAATCCGGCAGCAATGCGTTGCACACAGTTGGCAGCCACCTAACCAAACGCAACACCAACAAAGCACAAGTCGAGGTCGCCGCCAAGCAGCTCCAGCCCCAGCTCGAGCTACGGCATAGCTCCAAAGATACGTGCGATGCGCAATTGTATGAAATTGATTTGTAATCGATAAATGTGTGCGAATATAACGCTAACGTTTAAATCAACTGACAAACAGCATTTGGCATTTTGGCTACTCACATTCGCCACACTGGCCACATTGGCTATTTGACCGCTTTGCATGCCACAGCCCAATATTAGATCCAAATGTATTCTTAGCAATTTAATTATGCTGGGTTTGGCCAAGTGCTCGTGCACTCAGCAGACCTGCTGCAGGCCGACAGTTTGTGCTGAAAATTGAGAATTAAAAAATTTAACACAAGGAAAACCACTTGAACCACAGAAGCCGTTGCAGTCGTAGTTAAAGTTGCAGTTGTAGCCGTTGCAAGTAGCTGGCTGCCACTGACAAGGTCAACGTTTTATTTGGGGCCTCTGCTGGTCGCCATTGAATTCGAAACGAATTGTTGTTGATTCATACTAGAATACCAGGTATTAATCTCATATATATATATATACAAACACACAGACACATCGTGTTTTTCTTGTTGATTTTGCTGGCCAGCTTCTTGTTAGATGTAGTGTTTTTCTGTTGTCGTTGTTATTGTTGCTGTGGTTGTTTTTGCTTTGGCATTAACAAGTGTTTAATTGCAATAAATGCACCGGAATACCTTGACTATGTTTATGTTGATGCCCATGCCTGAGCCTGAGCCTGAGCTTGAGCTTGAGCATGGGCATGGGCATGAGCATGCCAATTGAGCAAACTGAATAGTATGCTTTTGGCCATAGCCACAATTTGCCAGCTATCTTTGTGGCCACTTGTTGGCCAAGGAGCCCACACTCACAATTATATTATTTATGCCTTTTGGCTGTGGCCAATGAAAGGTTAAATGCGTTACATTTATTCATGAGCGTTAAATTGCGAGCGTTCCAGTCAAAAGTTTTCATTGTCAACTCTTTGGTTGAAGTTGAGTGGCGTGTATCGTTCCGCATTTATCTGGTATTTAATAAGCCAACGACGAGCACTTACTGCCCATAATAGCTTCTTAATTATGCATTTGCCCATAAACATTTTGGCCAGCTACACAAAAAGTCAAAATGCCAGGCCAAGCAAATGGGCCATTATCACACAGCTTAGCCGGGCCTAGCATATCTTGTGGCTGCCTAATGCTGCTGGAGACCTTGACTAAACGTGTACATAAAACAAAGATTTACGGGTCATCAAATGTGTAGAGCAGTAAGCCAACGCTTACGTGCTGTATGTGCAGACAAGGATTTGTGCCTAACTAACAGACTACCACCATTCACAAATATTTCAAGGTACAATTTTTAACAAATATTGTAGAAATTATTTGATGAATGTGTCACTAAATGTTGATTTTTAATATTTGGACATGTTAGGTTTGTGGTTTTTTTTTGTTTGTATGTACTCACAAATCAATTAAAAGCCTTTTAGAAGAAATAAAAGTTGCATGAAATAAAAGTGTTAGCCATCAATTTTAATTAAACAATTGCTTGTGCATACATGCATTGAGGCCAATAAAAGTCTCATTCGATTGCAAAGAGTGCCCAGCTGGAAAATACTTTGTACACACAATATAACAAAGTTGTTATGCAAGTTATTAACATTTTAAATATATTAAAATGTGCTTGAAAAATGCTACAATAAATTCGGATATTCGAGTCTGATGTGAGATATTACATTATTTATTTTGAAGTCATATTTCGAATGCAATTTAAGTCTTTAAACACCAGCAAAGCACAGATTTGCACAATTTGGCTCATGTTATAGGTAAGTAGGTATTCTGCTAAAGCAAAGCTTGTGTTCAACCCCTAAGAATAACATGAGAAAGAACGTCTGCCTTGGACACGCAGCAGATTAGATACCCTTGCAGAACGATGATAATAATTCACAAGCAAGAACGTAACCAAATATCAAAGTGCAGTAGGAAAATCGATATTGAAATATTTTATAAGGATAGCCAGAGGATAGACAAAGGGAGGGACAAGCGGACATGGGTACATCAACTCGGTTAGTAATGCCAGACGTCTTTTTCAATGCGTTACGAACTTTATGAGAAAAGTATAATGCCTAGAAAATATTAATAATGGTGGAATGGAGTGAAAAAATTCCAACAATTTAATGGGAAAAAATAAAATCAAATTGTTTCGATGCTGCTACCTTTAATTAAATTAATAATTATGTATCTTAATGAGCGCATAATTGAATAATAAACAACGTGTAAACGCTCCCCTCACAGAATACCTATTTTTAAATATGTACATGTACATGTGGATTGTCAGAATTGTTGTTGTTGCTGATGCTGATGCTTAATTTGTTAACCTTTTAACTTTAGTGCACTTTGGCAGTGAAATGCGCTGAGCCCGCGCTGTACAATAAAAATGAGTTGGATCACATTAAGTAATCACATGGAATATTTCCGCAGCCAATTAAACCTGAAAGCCGCAACGTCGGATGCAAAAACACCAGACAGACTGCCAGATATGTAGATGGACAAGCGCGTTGTTACAGATACCGATATCCATGTGTATATATACGCGTACCGGGCACCGCAGCAATTACAGTTACAGATACAAGATACACTTGCATATGCAGTTACAAATACAATTAAATTCGATTCAGGAAGCATTTATGCGCATTTTGCATACAATTTATTTTTCATTATGTCGCCAACTTCGGATCGGATTTTATTTCTTTTATTTACTTTACACAGCATCCCGTTGATGATGAACGTTTACTTTTTTTCTCAATAGTAGATTTATAATATTAGCATACTTTTATTTTAACGTAAATTTGTTTACATTGCATAGCGCATTGTTCTATGCAAATTTTGATTGTGCATCGGCCAGCAAGATATTGAGCCGGTTTTTGGCTGTGACTAAAGTTGGCCACTTAGCGCAGAGCCTGAATATAGCCAACTTCCGCAAAAACAAAAGTTTTCCATTGCGGTGCACTATTTACGAGTGCAGTTCGAAAGATTGTACATAATTAGTGCCAGCTCGCTAGCCTGGCTGTGTGGTTGGTGGATGGTGCGCCTGCTGGTTTGT